CCCCGAGATCCATCAAGCACCCGCGGACGCGGGTGCAGTGGAGCTTGCCCCTGCTTCCTTCTGAGCTTGCTGGGAAGGGTCAGCTCTGAATAGCATTAGGGACGAATATGCTTGAGCACATGTTTTACGACATAGGAGGCTTGTCTACTTTCAGGGCACTGGTTTGCTCAGATCTGAGGTTGTTGCATTGCACTGTGTCCCGAGGTCAAACGCTTACAATTTGGTAGATAAGAAGCTGCAGCCAATGTCTGCTCCCGAATCAGAAGCACAGCACCTGAGGCTTGTTGCAGCTGTTGGGCACAAACGCTCACACCGCCTTCAGCGTCAGGCGGGCTCTAAAGCTTGGGGAAAGGGCAGGAAAGGTATGAGCAGACTGAAGATCAAGGATTCTCGATTATCGCCATTCAGTGTTATTCATGCGCGTCAAAGCCCCGGTATCTAGCGCACCAAACTTACTTGTGTGTTCTCCTCGAAAGACGTGTCTCCTTCCGGCACTGCAGCTGTTGTTGTCAGACATTCGTTTTGTAGAGTTGGAAGCTGTCTCCTGTCATGAAAAAGCGTGTCATGACAGCATGCTTCACCCAGCACTCCAGGCCTTCGGTCTTCCGGTCGAGGAGGTCTTGGCGGATGTGTTGACGGTGCCCCCCTTTTGCAACATGTTGCGATACAAGCTTTAAGTTGAGCTCCCGCACTTGGTCGTCATCCAATGCTGTCTCCACCTGCATGTGCAAAACTTTGTGCACTGGTCGCCGTCCAATGTTAATTGGCGGAAGCTTAGCTTCTAGGGCGTGCAGTCCATCGCTGGCTGTTGGCAGTGTTTCTGTTGAGTTGACTGGGGACAGGTTGGGAATCCATCCAAGTGAAAGGCAAGATCGATCACAAAGTGTTAGCACAACTTGGCGCAGGGAGAGAATCACGCAGCATGCAACAAAGGAAGAGGTAACAGATGCAACACCTGCATGGTGTAGGCATTGAACGAGGAACCGCATGCTGCGGTGCTTGCCACGCCCCTAGCCTTATCGTTTTTTGGGATGAGTAGTGCATGGGCTTCCAGTCCTCAATCTGAACGCGTATTCTGAGTCCAAGCAGCAGTGTTTCAACCTCGCATGAAATTACCGCTCAAGGAATTCAGGTTCCGTTAGAGTAGTTTGCGCAACGCAGCGTGAGGACAGAGAGCGAGGCAGAGGCAGCAGTGCTAAGACCTGTCCGTAGCGGTAGCTTATTGGCCCTGTAAGAAAGACGCACGCCAGTCTTTGGTAGACACACCCAGTTCTGCGGGCTGTAACAAGCTGCGCGATTAGCAATTTGCATGTGGAGCCCATGGCTGCTCCTACTTCTCCCTTTGGGCGACAGCTTAAGCCCGGACTGCAAGGTGACATGCTGGGATGGGGAATTCAGGTGGTAAGCCAGCAACCCGTTTGCACGCGAAGCTCCAGCCCATCAGATGTTGTTGACATCAATCGTGAACTCCAGGAGTCTTACCCTCCACGCCAGAGTGACCTGGAAATCCACAGGCTGCGTGGGCCTCACAGAGACAGCAGAAACCTTTCTTGCCCAAGGCCCAAAGAGTTTGAGATAGGGACATTCTCCACCAACCGTGCCTTCTGACTGCCAAGGCAGCTTCATGGCCTGGAGCGGTTGTACTTCCTGTATGCCAGACACCCGGTGGGGGTGGTGCAAGTGTTGGGATGTTCTCAGAATGTAGCTTTTATTGGTAGCGCTCTGATTTTATGTCGGCATGTATGCTTGGGCAAAGTCACCCCAACGAGGTTTGCTGCAGGGCATGCTTCATGGGATGAGGGAACTCACGCTGCCCATCTTTCCTGGGTCTGAGGTGCCTGACGAGGACTGCAAAGCATCTCAATCTGATTTTCACCCTGGAGAAGCTACACCCCGAATGTCGTTTTGAATGTTAGTGTACATGAACTCTGCCTGCGCATTGAAGCCGCAGACCATCGCAGACCTCTTTGTTTGTAGTATGACGCCGCCGTGTCTGCAGCTCGAAGGATTGCGAACCCCAAAGCCCAAAACCACACCTTAAGTACCATCACATGCACAGGACAGCAGGCCCAGAAAAGTGTGGATCTTATGTCCTGGAACCAACGTGGATGCCATGAGCCTCTTGTTTGATTTGATTTGTTCTGCCGTGTACTGCTTGGAGGGAATAGACGGGTGGCACAAGCATTCCCTAAGCCACAAAAGCCGTCCCTTCGCTGGAATCACGGCTGCGCTTGCAATTTGAGCTGTTGTGACGTCTTCGGCACCATGTCATGGCTTCGTTTGCTTTTTAAGGTGTACTGATAGGAGGTGTAGGGAGGTCTGTAGGGTCTGGAGTCAACAAGAGAGCTAAAGGGGAAGTTGGTTGCTGGAAGTTGACAAGATGCGCACCTTTTGTTCTGCAAGTTCTCCAACCAAACTTTAGGCTGCCAATGCCTGCACGATTTGTAGCGAAGGCATGCTATCGCTGACAAACACTATGAGCTGCTTGGACCAGTCAGATGATATGCACGGAGTTGCGCCATGGCACTGAGACTTGAATGTCAGGCAGTGGAGGCTTTCATGTTTTCAACTCTGTTTGCTTCCTTGTGAGAGAAATAGTGGCCCATCTCGCGAGGGAGCAGTCTTGTGCACTCAAAACTCTGTTGGTCATCAGGAGAGCAGGGTCAAGTCATTTGGCGCGGCCGTTTCAAGGCCTTGCTCAGAAGCACGATGTGGCCCTGATCGTTCTGGAGGGTGCTGCTCGCACCTTACATGGCCTGAGAAAAGCGCACGTCTCTAAACCATGCACAGGTCTGAATCTTTGTACCTTCAGTGGCGTGCGTCAAAAGCTAGCTAGAGAGGCCCATCCGAAGCCCAAGCCGTTGCTGACGATTGCTGACAGCCAAGTACTTGCGCTTCATAATGTGCCCAGGATCTCATGCTGAACGTGGAGATCAGTGCGCAAGCAAACCCGTCGCGTCCTGACGACGTGGGCCGGTATCCTGGATGGTTCCTTCGAGTGCGGGCATGTTGCAGGCAGTTGCAGGAGACCACCCACCCCACCTAAAGGAGTGGGGCCCGGAGCTACTCAAAGGCCTCAAAGTCGGTGTTAGAGTGACAGACGCTGTGAAGGTGCATGAAGCTTGACATCCGAGAGACGCAGCAACAGCGAATTGGACACTGGCTCTCCCGGCTGAGGTTACACCAAGGCCGTGCTGTCCCATGCACAACAAAGTTCCTCGACAGCACTGGGTTCTTGCATCGGCCCGATGGGTATCAGAATTGGGGCTTGCTTCTTTTGCAGGGCACCCAGGCATGTATTGAAATCGATTGCCATTGAGCCTGGCATGGCTCCACTGCCAGCAGGCATGTCGTAAGTGACTTCCCTATTTCAACTCATCACGGACCGTCTGCAAGGAGCCTGCATCGACATGCAGGAACTGTACTGCATAGGCGGGATACATGCTCTCATACCAACTTCACTGTAGCTGTTTGAACTTTGTTGGTCCTGCTTTATGTGTCGCGGTGTCAGTCTGGTGTTAGCCGAGATGTTATGATGGAGCCTTTTTTTGCATCATCCTCCGACAGTTGCCAAGTTGTGCTCCTCGTTAATTTTGGATTCGGCTCACTGTTTCGGGTTCTTTCTCGTATGTCTGCAAGACTTGTTCAGCGCTCCCGGAGTAGGTGCGGCAGAGATTAGAGAGGTGATGCAAGCTTCCCTCTCAGTTCCTCAAGACAACTGAAACGCCTCTTCTGCTTCCCGCCTGATGGAGCACACAGAACTCGTTTATTCTGTCCAAGGCAGAGGACTCAATATCTTGAGGTCCAGCTCCTGCTCCTCATAGGCCCCTCCGCACCGTCCACCCAGGGGCCCAGCCTTTTCTGCAGGCTCCTCTCGTGGCGCGCGGTTTTGCTCGCGGCTGGCTTCAGAGCTGGGCCTCCGTGGCCTAATGACCAATGCCGGGCTGCGCTTCCCGAGGCCTTCAGGGGCTCCTTGCTTGACTAAGCTTGACAAGCTTGTCATGCCCGGCCCGCGATGGTGAAGCCACCATGCAAGGCACCCTGATGCAGCGTTGTGCAGGCCGAACAATGCCTCGAAGCACCTCCCAGTTGTCACCATCCATGCTCGGAGCTCAGTGGTCCCGCAAAAGTTGTCCCCTTGATCAATCATGAGCACCAAGGACGAGCGGGACTCTGTGAACCCCTTCAGTGGGGGCGGTTACGCTTACTGGGAGGAGTCAGTGCCTTCAGTTGTGCAGGCCGGGACCCGGACCTCTTTGTCCGAGCTCATGCTTGGGGCTGCTTGTAGACTTTATGCTCAAGCTGTGCAGGCCTGGTCCACATTCAACGGGTGCAAAGAGACGATGTTCATGCTCGGCGCTGAGAGCTGCTTTTGAACTTCGCAGTCAGCCGTGAGTCGTGAAGCGCCAGACTCCTCCAGCATCCCTCTGAAAGCCCGCAGCATGCCGCAGCATGGAATCCCATATACAGAGCTCCTCCATGGACCAGAATGCTTCCAATGAGGTCTGTGCTTCCCATGGACAACACTAGGCTCGAGAGGCGCAGCGATATCCTGCTGGGCTTCTCGAGTCTGCTAAATCCGTGATGCAGTGTCGCTGCAGTGTCCTTGCACTCAAACCCAGCTCAGCCTGTTGAAGTCATGCACGCCACACATCTATGTGCACAGGGTACTGTCGAATCCCGAGGGAAGAAAGCAAACTGGAGGGATGGTGATGGAAAGCATCCATGATTTTCTTGAAGCCTTCTTAGCCATGGCTCGCAAGAAGCCTTTGAACATTCTGGCGGCCTGCCTGCTCCTGTGCAGCGTGTTCTGGGCTTTGGCTTCCGGGCGATGGACCCTGGCGCCCAGTCCACACGCAAGCGCTATAAGCCAAGGCCTCCGTGCTCGACGGAGTGTTGCCCTTGCAGCCGGCCAAACGGATGCTCCTGGCGCGCCTGGTACAATCTTTGTGTCCATCGCAGCATTCCTGGACCCAGAGCTGCCAGTAACTTTGAGGGCCATGCTGCTGCAGGCTGAACGGCCAGACTTGATCAATGTGGGCGTCGTTTGGCAGGGATTGGAAGATCCACCATTCTCCAGCACTGAGCTGGCAGAGCTGCACCAGCTCTGGCAAGTGCCGGCAGCCGAGGCAGCTCGCCTCGAAAGCCCTGCACTCAGCGCTCTTCTGGACCGGAATGAGAGCTTCCCGCATATGCCACGCGGCGAGGATGTGAAGCGGACCGCACTTGTAGGGGGCCACATTAGGCTTGTCGACATTCAAGCCAAGGATGCTCGAGGATGCCACTGGGCAAGATATATTGCGCAGCTTCTGTGGGAAGGAGAAGAGCTCTACTTGCAGCTCGATAGTCACATGCGATTCACGAGGCATTGGGACACTGAATTGCGCCGGCAGCTCGCCCTCTGCTCGCAGAAAGCTGCCAAGCCAGTTTTGAGCAACTATGGCCGGCCTTACTCGCTGGGAACGCCGGCAAACTGGACTCCGAGCCCAGACCTCCTCACACCAAGCCATATTTGTGCCGGATACTTCGATGCCGATGGCATACTCCGACACCCCTCCATTCCCCTGCGATTCAACTGGACAGAGCCTAGAAAGCATGTCTTCTGGAGTGGCCACTTCTCCTTCTCCTCTGCTCGAGTCCTGCAGGAGGTTCCTTTCGATCCTCAGCTGCCAATGGCCCACTTTCCAGAAGAGCCTCTTATGGCCGTGAGGCTCTTCACGCACGGATGGGATGTCTTTGCACCTACTCGGGGGATCATTTTCCACCTCTGGGAGCGCGATTACCGGCGCACCTTCTTCGAGATGAAGGCCGGGCTGCTTAGGACTGTTGCTCTTCGGGAGTAGGATCAGCACATGGTTCATGGGAGAAACCTGGAAATCTGTAGAGGGTTCCGTTGAAGGCTCCCCTCAGCAAAAGAGGACCTCTACGCAAAGCTGTATCCCGTGAGCCTCAAGAGAGTGAACCACCTGCTGTGCTCCGGCGCTCGTGGACCCGACTCCGAGGCTGCCGAGGCAAAGGGCTTCATTCTTCATGCTGCAGGATGTTAGAACAATGTAGAACACTTTACTACTTCCTTCAAAAGTTTAATCCCCTCCTGAATATCCTGTTCATTGCTGCATCATGTTTTGGTGGGGAGGGGATGTCGCCTTAGACTATTCTCCGAGCCAGATGTGGTCAATAAGCAAGATTGAGCCAATTCGAAGCATCGCCTAAAGCGACTTGCAGCCTCAAGGTTTTCAGAGGCTGCAACAAGAGGTGCACAACAGAGTTCCAAGTCGAATGTCCTAGCTGCCCTTTCCGGCTACTTTCGAGGCTAAAACCTAGACAGCCAAGAAGGGCAAGTTGCAATGCTCAGAACTGAATGAGCAACTTGGGAGTGGGCTTTCTCCTTCTCCATCAGCCTTCACTCGTCTTGGACAATGATGAATGGATTAAGCTGGGAAACCAGGCTTGGGATGAATGAAGCTTGAGGAGGCCGTCCATACAGTTCAGACGGTTTCAGGGCGTTCGACGACCATTGCCTTCACAAGATGCTGCACCAGCGTTGGCAATTCTAGCTTTTATTCTTTGTGAACTCTGCCTCCCCGTGAGGCAGTCTCCCACGCCTGGCCGTTGCCCGGTGGCCATGTGGCTGAAGGAAGCGATCCTTTTGGCCTTGGGGAGAAGAGGCGAATGGCAAAGCCGGAAAAGATGCTGTTTAAACCTTTCAAAGAGAAAGAGCTAGGTGAAGGCAAGTCTTCCGCATTTTTAGCAAGACTGAGCGCAGATGACGCTAGGTCCTTGGAAGAGTTTGAGCGCCTGGCGGACATCAGCTTTGCAAAGCGCCGAATCGGCTCCCGTGCCTACTTGGGCGACCTGCCTGTGCAGGACTACATCTTTGCTCTGAGGCTGAGTTGAAAGGAGAGAAGTTGAAGTATTGGATGGAACTAGGGGTAAAAGGCGCTGTCAGTTGAGCCGAGGATAGATCCGCCGGACCTCGCTCTCATGTTGCTCCTGCCCGTCGTTGGTGTATGGTTTTTCTCGGGCAGATAAAGCCTGGTGTCAACAAGTGGTTACACTGTACATCTTGACCTTCACCATCTCCTGTGGCACCAGATCCATCTTCAGCCTCAGCTTCGTGAGGAGCATGTTCGAGCTGTCAGGCAGCAAGGGCTTCCCAGCCAGAAGCCTGGGGCAACACGTCGGAGTAGACCCGTGGCGACCTTCGTGCATTTCCTTCAGCCCGCGTTCGGTGCGAAGTCTGAAGGTGGCTGCTTGCGGATGTCAATCGCCTGCGAAAGAAGAAAGAGAATGCAAAAAAAGGCACCGCCGACAGTACACTTTCTTGCACAGGTCTGCTGCATGAAGAAGGCATGACAGCTTGCATACAGCCAGCATTTCAACACGGAACTAGCGCTCCAACTGTGGAGCCCTCTGAAAGTGTATGGTACCCCTTTTTTTCTGCATTCAGCTGAGATGACCAGCGCTCATCAGCGAAGCAGCATTGCAGCAGATGCCTGCAGAACATTAGAAGTTTGACTGAGCCCAGATCCCAGATGTAAGGCTTTCACCCCACATGCCAGGATCCACAATTGTTAAAGCCTAGCATAGGTCTTCAGCAGAAGCCAGAATCGGTGAGGGACATTAACCATGGCCATGCGCGGACGGCGGACGCTTTGGATCGCTGTAGTGGGCTGCGTAATATGGGGCCTCAGCCCTGGCAGCCTTAGCAGCCAAGACCCCGAGAACTGGGTTGCACCCGGCCAGAGGAGCACCAGCCCCCTAGCGCGAAGAGCCATGGGCTTTGCTGACACCACGCCTGAAAGCCGTAAGCGGAAGAAGCCAGATCTCGCGCAGCTTGAGGCAGACCATGGGGACAAAGCGACCATCGTGTCGAAGATTCTGAAGGGTCAGGCAGCACCAACACCCGAGGACATGGTCAGGGCTCGCTATTCTGCTTGTCGCCTCAAGGACGCTGTGTTCATGGCAAAGACAGAGAAGGATCCCATGAAGAAAAAAATGTCTAACAGGGTCCGTGCGTGGGCACTCTGCTTTGGCACTGAGAAGCCAGACGACTTCGATACCGACGCGGGGGACGCCTCCAAGCTCCGTGACTGGACATGACTGGACAACTTGACCCAGCTTTCGGCTTTCCGTACTTTCTTCGAAGCTTTAGGGCCTTATCATGATCAGTCAACTGACAATGCATGTGAGACCCTCATAGAGAGTGAGTCAGGTGATTTGGAGCGCCTTGAGATCATCCAGGCGAACGGGAACGAGGTGGAGTTCAAGCTTCACTGCAAGCGCGGGGTCCTGCATGAGCGGTCAGTTATGGAAGAGGATGAGAAATATGGCTGGATCTACTCCGGCGAGTCTAAGATGGACGCATGGGAGTGAGCTTTCCGCCTTTTCTTCGCTCAGTGATATGAATTTTCACTGCCTTCGCAGATTCTTCATGAGACTGAAGCCCGAGAAACACGTGCAGTCTGCTGGTCATTGTTCGCCAGCTTGTCCTCACTCAGAGTTCTGGCGCCTGCAGGCACGCTTCCTGCGATTCCTTCGCGGAGGTTTGGCTTCTAGTGACCGACACAGGTCGGCATTCGTGGCCTGCCTATCAAACTCATGGCTTTTGTTGATGCCAGCAGTTATTTGCGCTTGATATTCTTGTCGGCAAGCCCCCGCACCCAGGTGGCCGGGAGATGCCTTCACTGAATTGGCGCATGGAGCTTGGTTAGGTTGCAAGTCTGCTCCACATCAGAGCTCCCTCTCTCTCTCTGTCTCTCGTTCTCTCGCTTTGGCTGCCCTACTAGTTGAACACACCCACTTGACAGTAGTCCTTGATTCCGCAATGATGCTCTTTGCCAACTGCTAACCATCATTGCGGAACCTCTTGGCTGTTGCGGTCTCCGACCTGACTGTAGCTGGCAGAATCACAACAAGTCTGCGCAAGCTTTAGCTAACATGTTAAATGGCTACGAACAAGCCGTGGAGCGATAACTTGGTGCTGAGGGATGTGCATTGCTGCTTGAATCCGCATATAAGGTGGCAAGTGATGCAGCGCCAACGGCTGTTGAGTGAGGGCTCGCTGGACCTCATAGACTTGGGAGGAGACCGGAGATTGTTACAACAAAAGCCTGCCACACCAACAGCAACCGAAAGACCGCTATCGCATTGCTGCTCCTGCCTGCGCTGGAAATCATACTTGCAGCCTGATTGCTTGCCAGCCGCAAAGCCTCTGATTAGAGTAAGCAGTTTCCAATCACATCATTGGGGCCTGCAGGACCCGATTGGCCAAAGTGGCCTCTCGAAACAGGAGTGTTGAGAAACATGTGGCAGACACCACAGCTCTACTCCCGCACGACTGATCAGAAGCTGACTGCACACAAATTCTGTTGTGAGCCGCGGTCATGTCATGTAAACCTTTCGGAAGTCCGCAGGACTGGCTCACGCACCTGCTGGACTTGTTCTGTCCGGAGGCCGCATGGTTGGCACCGCTACAGAGAGAACCCCCCAAAATGACAACAACCCACATAGCAATCTGAAGGTCTGGTGGCAGGCGCTCTGCTACTTGGATGAGCTTATTCAGCGCAAGCGAACCTTTGGACGCTTGGGCAAGCTAGATTAGCGTTTCACCAGCGAGGGCCACCCGAGCCACGCTGTAGCAGAGAAGTGCATTCCAGCACTTGTCTTCAGACCACTTCTGATAAGCCACAGAAATTTTGTGGCATGTCGGTCAGACCTATCGAGGCTCCATCAAAACACAGCTTCACAACAAGGATGCGGGGAACAGATGGGTAATGTAGGTGTCCTTGCAATGACAATGGCAAACAACTGTGAATCGCCGCCGCCTTGTGATCCAGGATCTCTATACACGGCTAGGAAGGAATGCAAGCAGGCAAGGCCTCCAACACGTTTTGCTTGACCCTTTGGCAGGGGAAATTTACTCATGCAGGGTCATATTAAGCCAGGATGCTGGCGAGACTGGACTTGAGACTCAGCCCGCAGCGACATGGCATCCACTGCGAGTCACTCTTCCCAGCTGCGAGTCAGACGTGTGCGCGAGCTCCTGGCCTTCATTAAGATCATGTCCCCACAGACTCGCAGGAGCCTCCAATACTTTCGTAGCCGTCACGTGCTCTGACAGGTCGTGCATACCTGGTGAAGACATTGACGTGATTGCGAGCACACTGCGGCGTGCCCATCCAGTGGTGCTACGAGGCTATGCCAGCAGTTGGAAAGCTCGAAGCTGGGATTTGCAACGCGTGGCAGCTGGAGCCCTGGAAGCTCAGGTAGAGCTCCAGGTCAGCCGCAGGGGCCAGACCCAGTTTCACGGATTCGGAGGGTCATTGCAAAGGGAGCCCTTGCACAGGCTGCCCCAGGCTGCCGCCGAAGGATTTAACGAGGGCAGATCACTGTATTTGGTGCAGTGCCCTTTGTGGGCACGAGCTTCCGTGGAGTGCCCTGCGAGCCACCTCCTGCCTGATCTGAGCCTGGGCCCCTTTGCTGGTGCCTTGGGCGCTCGCAGCGCAGACGCCTTGCTATCACGACGCCTGGATTCTGTGAACCTTTGGATGTCTCTGGGTGAGACCCACTCCAACTTGCACTATGACTCCAAGCATGGCCTTTTAGTGCTCCTGAGGGGAAGGAAGTTGGTGGAGCTCTTCTCGCCCGCCGCGGCCACGAGCATTGGCGCCTACCCCGTTCACGATCCCCTGCGATCTCATCACTCGCGGGCTCCGCACTGCTGCTTGGCTTCGCGCCTTGAAGGCACCGCATGTGAAGTCCACACGGGGGCTGACTGGAAAAGCTTGCGGGCGGTCCGCAGCTTGCAGGCAGACCTGCATGAAGGGGATGCGCTCCTAATTCCAGAAGGGTGGTGGCACCATGTGAAAACCTTGGGCAGGGATGCCGATGAACAGCAGTTGGCACTTGCTGTAAACATCTGGTGGCGAGGTTATCCACGAGAGCCAAAGGCAGCGCGGCCTTACGTTCTTCGGCGCCTTTTGGGGGAGATGCTGGCACAGCGAACAGCCTCTCATTTCAACCTCCGCCGCAAGACATTCCGCAAGACCCGGAAAGTCAGCAAGGATGGGGCCTGCATCAAGTCTACGGCTCCTCAGAGTGAGAAGGTGAGCATCTTGGAGGAGCTCTGCGCGGCAGCACAATACGAGTCGCCTCACCAAGAGTGGTTGGCAGCTCTCCGTGCCTTTGGGCCCGTGCTTCCCCACTGCTTGGCCGCAGCGGCGGCGTCGAAGGATGACTGCGAGCAGGACTGCCGCATCACGCTTGTATGCTACTTATGTGTACACAAGCTGGCTGTACAGAGACTAAACACAGACCAGACACCGATGATGACCTGCATCACAAGGCCAAGCTACGCGCTCGTAAGGCACCAGCAGCCTTGTTTAAAAAAAGGTTGGCAAAGAGGGTTGGCATTCCTGAAAAGGAAGCAGTGCGCGGCCTCCTGGACGGCCTGAGCCCGGCGCAAGCAGCGGCACTGCTGGCAAGCCTGGACGCCTCGGCTTTGGACATGGGCCGCGTGGCTTTGCAGGGTGGTGGGGTGTTAGGGGCTGTTCCATACTCTTGGTTTGATAGTGGTCATCTGTTTCATAGTGGGCCAAGCGTCATTGTTTGATGCTCGGGGCTAAAGGAGGCTTCACATGGCTTTTCGGCTACCGAGAGAATGGTTCCGCGACCAGGAGTCAGAACCGAGGAGATGCTGCTGCAGCCCTCCGCCTGCTTTGGCGTCATTACCCGCAGCGGGCCATCGTGGCAAAGTGGGATGAACATCTGAAGAAAACTCTGGAGGACATCTTGAGCAAAGCTCTCTCAACGACAACACCGCGGTCACGTGCTGTCCATGCTGGTGGATGATTGTCAAATTCCTAGAGCAACTCGACTTCTCAGGCACCTCTACACCCAGTGGTCCTTGATATCCAAACTCACCAGGCGCGCTTCATCTCCAGAGCAAGTGCATCCCAGATCAGTGGGCAGACGACGCCCATGTCAAGACACGGCCGGCTTCCGCAACATCCATGATTTCCTGGCTGCCTCCCAGTGTTGCGTAGAGATCCTTACTTGGTCTTACTTGAAGAGCAACAGGGTCCGAGAGGAAAGAATCTTGCGAAAGGAGTAGCCGGCAGGCTCAGTTGCCAGTGCGCGACTCGTGCTGGCTGATAATACCAGGCAACACAGAGGTTACTCTGCCCCTGTGTTGCTCCGCTTGAGGTCGCACCACCCGGCGCGGGGAAAACAACGGTCTTGGCCTTACTGCTTGCTTCTGTTTTTTGGGATTTCTTTGGCACTGCGAATGACTTCTGTCTTCAGTTTAGCCGAGATGCTGTGTCAGCAGGCCGTGCCGCTTGCCATGATGGATGACTTGGCCGAACGTCGGCTTCCCAGATCCACAGTCACACGAGATGTCCCGAGACGCAACGACGGTAGTGTGCTGCCAGTGGCTGAGGTGGTCCTTCAGGTCGGGTGGTTGTCACAGAGCCACGTCGTGTAGCCGCACGTGTGCCCTCCCTCAGAGAGCAAGGGTTGAGGGCTTCGGCCACCAACAGTTTAGGCTCGAGCATGGCGGGCTTCGGACTATTGTTACTATATATTGTAGTTGTTGTATGTCAAAAAGGTGAGGGCTGGCGCAAAGTTTCTCCAGCGCTGACTGGAAAACGATTCTGCGCCCTTTGGGATCTGAAGTTGCTGCCGCTGCTGCACGTGCTCCTGCTCACAAGGGTTCCTTCTACAACTCACAGCATTCTGACCTGGTTGACGCAAGCTGTGACCACGGGAAGCGTTGCAAGCCGTAGCTGGCAAGCAAACATGGCCAGAAAAATCTCATGGAGCCTGCTTAGCCTCATGTATGTCGGGGGGGATAATTGATGCGAGCTGCCCACGACTCGCCTATGTGTGTATGACTGCCGACATGACGTTCAAGCTGACTGTCTATCAGCACTCATTTCACAGGTCTCCATTGTTAGTGTGGCGTATGCTCCAGTCAGAACTTTTCCAGTCAGCTGGGTTCGACAATGCAACACTGCAGGCCTAGATTTTGAAACATCATGCTCCCCGTCCCAGGTGGCAAATTTGAAAACCCAACTACGGTCTCATGGGTTGGAGCAAAGATCCGAGAAACCCTTCCTGCCCTCAGCGCTGCAATCTGGTAATTTCATGAGCAATTCCCAAATCCTTCGTTGAAGATTGCATCTTGCTACACTACTCCTAGTACTTCCACACTTTTGTCATAATGACAAGGACGATGACAGCTGAAGCAAGTGCTGCAGTGTTACAGCTGCATGTGCTGGATGTCATATCGACTTAGAATTGCTTCTATCATTTTGACATCAACATTGCCAGCATGTGCACCCTGAGTTGCCCCCAGCTTGCCTTCACAGCTAACCAGTCAACATCAACCCACCCTAGGCTGCAGCACGGCGCATGGCGGCACTGCATGGAGAGCCGGCAGGGCCTCATATTTGGGAGTGTTCCCGAAACAATACTACTACAGGGGATAATCTTGTAGGCATTGTTGCGGGGCATAGGGCTTGGGTTCCTCATAACACCCGGCATTGTTGCAGCTGCTTGCTACTGTATCGTTTCTGATGTATGCCTATTTGAAAGTGCCAGTCTTGGGTGCTGGCAGTGATTTGAAATGTGTGAGGGGGCAGGATCAGATTTTGAAGAGTAAGACCGTTTCGGTCACCGGACGGGTCCTTTGCTCTTGCTAAGTCAAGAGGACGTAGAAATTGGGAAGTCCAACACATATTTCTTGCGTCCCCACGTTCATCGGGCAAATGTACCTTACTCTGGAACGATGAATGTAACACAGGATGCCATGCTGATCCAGGGTACGCTTCATGCAAATGGGAAGCTAGGCTTGTGAGAACATGGTCGCCCTCCTGCAACTTCCTTCTGGGGAAATGCTGTAGGCTTCAGATAAGGGAACGGCCTGGTATAGTGCCCTGGCCCGCCATTAGCAGCAATGACAGAGCGTGCGGCGGCCATCGCCGCAGTGCTGGGTGCTGTCGTCGTGCAAATCCCATTGGTTCACTACCCAGCGCGGGCTGCCTGGTGCTGGCCGGCAGAGACCCCCGTGTGCAGCCTGCCTACTGTGGCAAATGGGAAGCTGGCAAGCACACCCAGTAAACGCGTTGGGCATCTAAGAGCTTACCTCAACCGTTTATTGCTACTTGGGGTTGAAGAATGGCCCTGTGCCAGAGGATCATGTCCTGGCATGCCGCGAAGTGCAACTTGTGGGGCTTTGGTTGGAAGAGCGATAATTTGAAAATCTAACGATCAGGTCCAAAACTTAAAAAAGGAACGATAAGAGGAAAATAAAACGATAGCAACATTGCATGTCAAGCAAAAAGGAACGGGGCTTTTATACACTCCCACTTTGAAGTGCTGAGCTGAGGAAGTGCGTAGATGCCAGCAATGTGACAGTGACAACTATGACGCCAGAACAGGCTTGTACACCTGTTTGCGATGATGGCTTTGTCCTGGTTGGCAGTTGCACTCAGCTGCAGTGCCCGCGCTCAGGCACAAGGGTTCTGTTAAGGAAAGAGAGAGCAGCGTTGATTAAGAGACGGCATGACATGAGCAAGTGCTTCCTAAACCAGTGGTGCAGCTGTGGGATGCCGTGGGTTCTTCATTGGCATGTCTGCAAGCTGTCAATTTATGGTCTCTGCTGCCGCTGAAACAGGCTCGCAGCCTACGTGCCTTCAAGACCTAGACGATGAAACATGGTGGGTTCCGTGTGGCTTCGGCGATAGGTGCATCCAGAACAATCAAGTGCTTGGCAAGGATGGATTGTTCGCAAGTTTTGGCGACTACCAGCGCCTTGGCCGTGAGATACTGCTGACTGCAGTGGGCTGAGCTTCCAACCGGTTCACGACACCTCATAGCCTATGAAACAATGAAGATCGCTCCAGNNCTGGAGCGATCTTCATTGTTTCATACGAGATCCTGTTCAGGCAAACACATAGTGCTTTCGGGTGCAAGGGGTGTGATGCGTGGCCTACTCGCATAGTCCCAAAGCTCGAGCCAAATTCTTGCCACTGGCTGCGATTGATGCTGCTTTGGCGAAACCTTTTCCTACGATGGTGATTCCAACAAACAGGTCTATTGAGTCGTGCTCTTATCACCTACCACCTACCCGTAAGGATACAGTTGCGCCTGAGATCCATGTCGTCATCACCCTTTACCCTAGTGTCGTTGTCGCGTGCATGACTACTGTAGTTTAGGACCACAGTTGGCTGTGAATCAAAAGTGCTGGGTTTGTAACAAGCGTGGGCGGCCATTCTGCGACATAGGCTTGTAACAGAATTTCCTAGCTTGCAACAATCACCTTTGCGACAAGTTTTTGTCGTGGGGCATGCCCTTACCAAGCACTTGCGACAAAGGTATGTAAGAACAGGCCGCGACAAAGGGGTATGTAACAAAGGGTGGCGGGGCCTGCGACAAAGCGGTATTTTATCCACAACCAGTTGTTAGTCATGACATGTCTTATCGCTGTAGCAACCGCATGATGACGCAAGACAAGCTCCTTTTAGGATGGGAGTATCCTTGGCCATATAGGATTGGTGGGGTTTGCATTAACTATGCTGCAGGTTCCACCGAACTCTGCCTCTGCTCGAAATGCCAAGCCCCGCCCCATGACAGTTTGAGACTGAAGGTGCTTGGCAGAGGGCAGCTCAGACTTAGTCGGCGTGACCCGGTGCGACGGTGTGGCTACAGCAACTGCTCCACCGGACGCTTGGCGGAGGGTGGCAATCTGGTCAAGTACCCATAGTGCCCCGAACTCCCTCTTGGGATGCAAGCTGACAATGGACTGCATGGTTTCTGCAGGTTGAAGTACTCGGAGGGAGCTGCATAATTTTATTGTTGAAGCTACGCCCCCTTCTCGACCCTCAGGCCCCCTGCCGAGCCGTTTAGAGCTCTGCGCGTACCATTTCTCAAACTTATGGGTTCAGAATACAGATCCCACGATTATGGAGGACATACGGAAACCCCGCTTGAGCCAAATGCAATGCCAGGAGACGGCAGGACTCAGCGATGCAGAGAAGCTGGATGTTGGCACGCTGCTTGGAGCCATTGCGGAAACCTTGTTACTACTTGTCGAGCTAGGGATACATATAAAGAATGCAATCAGGATACGTATCGCGGGGCTATGGCGTGGCCAGGGCTAGTCAGCTAGTGGTATTTTAAACGTAGCGACCGTGTGAAAAACACCTGCTTCACCTAAGACTCGGCATCTTGGGGGGCTTGCTCGTGGTTGGCCTCATTGGGGCCGCTATCTCCTGCACAGCTGCGGGCGGCCTCACTCGGTGTTGGTACTCAGGCAGCAAGGACGGGGAAGAACAACCTGAAAGTCGTCAGGATTCTCAGTGTAATTGATCTTGTTCCCCACCCTCACAGTGTTGCTGTTAGATTTTGAATGGTTTGAAGAAGCCTATGTTCTCCTCGCCTTCCGTGCACCGCCTAGCCTGACGGCAGAGTATCCAACCGCCAAGACTGATGAGGATTTGAGGATCGCATTGCCCCCTCAGAGTACCCACGAAGTGCCCCAAAGCCTGCATCGCTGCTCAGCCCCAGAGTTTCCTTCCCACAGCCGACCCCAGAGTATCCCAAAGTTCCCTTGCATGCAGTGCCCAACCGAAGAATGTCCCTGCGGCGCCCAATCTCAGGAGTATCCCTGCTGTGCCCAAGCCAAAGAACCCTGCAGTGCCCCATAGTGCCCCAATCTCACAAGCCACCATATCTATGGGCTGGCACAGCGTTTTAGAATTGCATTGCTGATACATGCTTGCTATGGTTGCTACTCTAGAGGTAGTTGATGATGCCCACAATCACAAACAACTGAAGGGTGGGTATGTTCGAAGTAGATAACTTTGATCACAGTTGCCATTAGACGCCCAGGTTCATGCCGGGTCCTATGCAGTGGTCTCCGAGCAACAACTTCGGCATGCTCGCAGTGCTGATTGCGCTGGTAGCTGCCTGCCTGCTCCCTAATGCAACAAGACTGCAAATCGTTCAGGATTTTGCAGATACGGTGTGTAGTACCTTTATTTGTGGCTCCTAGACTGTGTACATTGCTCCATGAGACATGGGAACTTTGAGGTCATCGGCGTGCAGTTCGGGGAGGGGGGGGGGGTTCTTGTGGGTGTAGGTTCAAGAATGAATGAAGGGTTTTCATGTTGAGGAGATACCGTAGGTATCCTTGCCAAGCCCAGGTTGTGAGAAACTGCCATTCCGATAAAGCTTCGACGATTAACGTCGGAATCTGCTTTGTACTGTGAAATTCCGCATTCAAGCACGACACTGCCTCAGCTCCAGGCCATGAGGTCCACGGGCATTGCCGTGGGCATTGCCTCCATGCTGACCATCATGCAGCCTGGCTGCAGTCGGTGAGCGGTTGGTACGAAGTTATGAGCCTGCTGCGACATTCGTGTCACCTTTGCGTGCCTTTTCAACCGCAGCCAGCAGAGGTGGTCCTACTTCAAGGGTGGAGCTGACAGCTTTATGGGCATGACGCGCGAAGCTGCCTGGCGCATTCACACGACCATTGGCACGTTGACTCTGATTTTGGGTGTTGCGCCCCAGCTGCCTTAGTCAAGCTCCGGCCTTCTTACCTTGGGCATCCTTGGGCAATCGTGTGAAGTCATCTGAAGTCGATTAGCCTGTGGGACAGGTGCACGGCGCGGTGTCCATCAGGAAGAAAGGAGCAGACATCTCACAGAACTCATACTGGATTGTTGGTATCGTGGCTGCTGTGCTGATGATTCTTGGCGTTGTTGCTGCACCTTTCGTGCATTACGACAAGTTCAAACTCCTGCACTTCCTCAGCATGTGGGGCTACATCCTAGCCATCGTCCACATGCTTGACCACGCTGTTGCTCTGCAGACGATCGCCTCCATAGCAGTTGCGGCAGGGAACTGTGTTGCCTTGTTGGCCTTCATCGTGCAGAAGGTGTACACCAAGGCCTTTGTGCTAAATTCGCGCTACTGTGGTGCTGCCAATCCCTGATTGAGGCATCGGCTGGGAAGGTGACGGTTAAGAAGGCAGAGCTGGTGAAAGAGTCCGGTGGACAGCACCTTTTCCTGACCATGCTCCTTGGCATGGTGCCAAAGATTGTGCAGCATTGTGCCATTTTTCCTGAGTTGCTGTTGCCGAGTCAGGTCGGTACCCAACTTCAAGTTCAAGCCAGGTCAGTGGGGCCATCTCGCAGTGGGAAAGGCGTCACCGGTGCCGCATCCATTCACCCTGATCCCGGGAGAGAGCAGCGACGAAGTCAGGACAGCTACCTTTGCCATTGTGCTGTGCGAGATACGATGTGTGTCGCACTGTGTCGCTAAATTTTTGCTGATGCCAGGCAGTTTCACCGTGTGTGTAAGTTCCAGCTCACGCAGGATCTTCATGAAGATCAACAGGAGCGGCTTCACTTCCAAGATGGCAAAGATTTGCGCTGCACGGCTTACAATGAAGTGAGCGTTGCATGACGGGACGCGGGCGGCTCAATTATTGGGAATGTCAACTTGAGCGACAAGAAGTGCAAAGACCTACCACGGAAAGAACAGCTAACACAAAGCTATAGAAGTTCTGAGCGCCCGCCATGTCTCTTCAAGCCCGCTGTGGTAAGGAGTCAAACGATCCAGACACTCTTCCCGCGATGAAGCTCGAGGCCATTTGGCATGCCAACTTCTGGAGACATTCATTTTGCTCGCAAATCTTTCTGCACTGCCTAGGCCTAAGCCATGCCTACAACGCTCATCATTGATGCGTGTACTTTGCTGTTTTAGATAGCGGACCGCCAGAGCTCAGTGAAGAGAGGCCTACTGTAGCGCAAGATGTGCGTCGGAGATGTTGACAAGCTATCAGCATTTGGCTATACGTTCCCCAGGCCTGAGACTGAGACGCTTGGATCCACCTGCGAGGAGTCCTAAAAGATCTTCATTTTGTCTTTGGAACAAGAGCTGATCCCTATGCCTATGACGTTTTGAGATTTCGCGTAAGATGCCAGGGCCCGTATGGAAAGCCCTCCGTGCCTGCGCCTGGAATCGAGCGCACGGTCTTTGTTCTGGGAGGCCTGCAGGCAAAAGTAAGTGGGACACGTGTACATAGAGGCCCTTATCTTGGTTGTAACGAAATGTGCGACCATTTTTTCGGAGTCCTTTTAACAAGCATCGTTATATTTCGTCCTTTTAACCAGCATCGTTATATCTTGTCAAGCCTGGAGCCTCCTGCAGAGCACAGCACAGGGATCTGCGGGGACTGGAGTCTATGCATTTTTGTTGATCATTACCAGCCCAACCAGTGGGGCTGTTAGATTTCGAAGACAGAATCCGTACATATTGGCGTGGCTCCCATAACCAATGATAATGCATACAGAACAGAGGACAGCAGTATGTCCGGGGGGGGGTCGCATATCGGGCTTCACTATGCCACTACGCAGGCAGGTTGGCAGGTGGTATGTCAGGCAAGCAGCCGTACTTTGGGTTTAGGGACAGGGTGGGGCTGATCCAAGTTGTCATAATGAAATTCAGTAATTAATTTACGGATGGCATAAGCTAGATGAATACTGTCTATGAATGACACGTGAAGTTCTACCTCCCCCTAGACTGCAAGGCGTGGGCATTACGCCAGGGCTTTCCCTTGCCAAAGCCGCGGAAGCAGCCTCTGGAAAAAAGGCAGGATAAGGGATTCAACACCTCAGTTCCAGTCAGCCAGCTACCCACTAATTAGTACACGTAGGGGTGTGATAACTAGGGCTGCACACAGGGTGTTAAGGATCCTTTTGAATTGTGGGGGGCTACATTCATCCATTTCAGGGCAATCTGGGGACCATATCGTGGGAACCAAGTAAATGCAACTTTATGGGATGACCCTGGAGCCCTTGAGCTTGAGAGAATTATGCGTTGTGATTTGTTGGGGTCCATCCTGGGGAAGATTAAGATCTGTGTGTGGCCCATGAAGGAGGCAGCATGCTCCACAAGATTCCTTTCACAAGTGTAAACAGTAACAATTCTACCAGCATCAGGTGGTTCGGGTGATGCCGGGTTTATGTCATCAGGATGTACGGCTCTCAAATTGGCATCCAAAGCTTCTGTGCAGTTTGTGTGTTATGTGTGGTCGCGGACGCTTGCAATAGACATAAGACTGCACCCGATCTTGTAGCAAGCCGTTTGAATTAGATATGCCCAGCCCTGCCCCTCAGTTCATGCTTTTAGTGGCAAAGTCAGCCCAGTAGGCACCAGGGAAGCAGCAACAACAAATAGGGGATATGTGCCCATCATCTAGAAAACATGCGTCATGGGTTGTGGCAAGGTTGCGATGCTCCCCGGCAGCAGCTGGCGCGCCTCTTTGGCTTGGGATGGCAAAAGGGGGGAAGGGCCAGGAAGCCTTGGAGGTTTGGGGTTGAAGAGGATGAAAGTTCAGCGGGGCTCAGGGCCAGAAATGATTCGCATGTGCAGGCCTCCTGCGACCTCGCCGTGATGCTGCAACAGAACACTTAGGTCTCTTAAGCCCCAGGCAGAATTTTGGTGCCCGCAGCAACGCGAAAAGACAGAAGCTCTTCACAACTGCTGAGCAAATTGCTTTCTGTTAGTTTTGCTGCAGTGCATGCAGCCCAAAGCCCACTGCTCCCTTCTCCGAAAAAATCCTACGCCATTGTGGCACAATGGCCTGACATGCCACGTCCATGACCTATCCAAGGTTTTGGGCACTGCGCAGCCTGGAGCTACTGGGTCGAGCTGCTCCCCTCCTTGAGCTTTGGTCCAAAGCATGAGGCTGACAGTTTGAACAGCCTCGAACATGTTTCAGGGTTTAGGGTGGAGCACCAAGCTTGGCACCTTGAGGCTTTAAGGTGAGGTCTGGGGCTGACGGCCTATGTACGCAGGTTTGTGCATGTCTTCATGGGGTCTGAGGCAACTTGCAAGATGTATTGCTGGTTTGAGCTGCTCAAGGCAAGCCAGAAGTCCTCATTCTTGGTGGTGCTTCACTGAGGTGGAATTACGATGGCCAAGCCTTGGTAGACTGAAGCCGGATTAGGGCTTTACGAAGCATGAGAAGATTGTTTCCCGCGTTTCAAGCCCAACCCTTAGGGAGCCCATGCTTCGCGAATTCATGGCTCCCAACATTCCTATTAACAGTCCCGATATTCACACTTCCCCACGAGAGGGCTCTCACCTATCCAAGGAGCCTCACCTTGACGCCGACCTCAGCGCCATTCGGATGAACGGTGCGGGGCCCTGGACTGTGGGAGATCTGGTAGTTTGCACGAATCTGGGACCCTAATTCCTAGGCCTCCCGGCTAGGGACTGGGGGCTGTAGTGCATGAAGTGTTTGAGAGCAATTGGGAGCTGACATTATGTAAGCTTGTTGACATGCGCAGGATGAAGACTTCTGGACATTCACGCAAGTCATTAATAACTCTGCTCGAGCGGATCTGGATTTGACAGCAGATTCCTCAATCCCCATGCCGTTACCGGACGCAGAAGAATGTTGACTGAGCCAGCACTTTCCGTTTGAAGCCAGGCGCCGGGACACAAGAGGGAGGCCAGATCAGTTTGTGAAGAGAAATTACGGGTTTTGAGTGGGTAGTGCCTGACTTGCTGGTTTGCGTCATCTACGGTCGATGGAGGAAATCTTGCACCACCTAGGGGCCCTAAACTACTGTAATTCCTAGGACTTTAAGGGCTCTAGTAAGTGGTGCAAGATTTCCTCCATCAACAGTATGAGCGCAGAAGGCAACTTGCACAAGAGTTCACCTGCTGTTTTGTGACGCAACTATTTAGTCAAGCCTGTGACTGGATCTTGCAGGTGTAGACCTGCCGCTGAAAGCCAAGTATGGTTCTGAGGACCTGGGGGATGGGAACTTGCATAAACACTGGAGAACAACGGCACGTCCAAGTCCTGAGAAACACTCTTCGCTTTGGCGCTGTCACTGACGGCCTTCATGGGGCATGAGATTGCAGTGTTCGTTGGGGACCCATCCTGCAGAAGTTCTTAGAACTTTGATCTACGCACTTTCAATTTTACGGGAAGGATATCCACAATTTGATATGATGTGTGGCTTTACTTTTTGGAAGTTCAAGCAGCGCACGGCTTGGGGTAATGTCCCGGTAGCCTCCTCCAAATTTGGCTCCTCCAGCACAGCATTTGTTCCGTCTTTGCGCAAGTTCATCTCTTAGGCTTGAATTCAGGTGGAAACGAGGTAGCTGCAATATGCCAAAGTTTCGCAGGGTGCTGGAAGACAAATGATACCCCCAGCCTAGGGTAGCTCCCCAAATGATAAAACAATGATATTCTGAATCCAGGTCGGCTCCCCAAATGATTTTTGTAAGAAAAGGAAAAGCATCCATTAAAACAAGCGACGAAACGATAAAACATTGTATTATAAACATATTTTCTTGCCTTTGGCAAGCCTGCCGGGGCCTTCTCGAGGCCTCCCCGGCAGAGACTCTGTGGCGTACTGCGCTACCATAATTGCCAAGGTCTGAGATACTTAGTGTTATGCAGGATTTCTAGTATCCACTGTGCGATAATGATAGCCCAGATGTGCCCAGATGATAACCTCAGAGTATGGCGCTAATTTGATGACAAACAAACGATAGAGCAATGAGAAACATATGATAAATAGATGACAGAAACACGCTAAAGACATGATACCCCTGATCCAGACAGAATGAAGAAACGACAAAACAAAAAACGATGACCCCAAATGATAATTCAATGATAGATACATGGTAAAACTCCCATATGTTGTTTTCCAACCTCTACAGACCTGAAAATCTCCTAACTTTAACAGCAATGGCGAAAAGACTCACCAGAGATGGGTTGGAAGGGGCCAAGCTCAATTGAGGAGTTCAGTAATTTCTCCACTAAACCCAAGAATGAATCATGTGGACCTAGCAAGCGAGTTGATGGCTGCTTTGCTTAAGATAGACTTACGCAAGGACTCCTACCTCATTGTACGTTGCTCACCGGAAACTTCCACAAGCAGAACGTAGCTTACTCTGCAGCCTCCTTGAGCAGCCCAAACTGCTGGTTTGAGGATATCGGACGATGGCTGGAGGCAGTGGGCTCTTCGTACGCCAAGGAAGGCGTCAAGCACGTGGCTGGGCTTCCGCTAGTCAAAGCGCTGCTTAGGAGTATCAGGTTGTGTCAGATTTTAGTTGTAGGAAGGGTGGTGTTCGTGGTTTCCCCTCACAATCCTCGAATCCTGATGTATCTTTTGGTTCTCGGACAGGGCTGCAACATCAGAAGCACTGCAGTTCTGGTGTCTGACCAGCATGGCATTTCCTTGCTTTGTTGTGAAGCAGCAACGGTTCGAGTAGAATACCGCGATGGGCATTTTTGTTTTAACCTGGGACCGGGCTCGGCCCTTTATTGCTCAATTGGAAGCTACAAACTCCTTTAAGCCCCGAGCGTGACATCTGGAACTTGAAGCCGAGGCTATGGTCTTTGTTTGTGGGCCTCCTGGTCTCGCAGATGCGGCGAAGGCAGTCCTTCAGTTAACATAGATGGCTGAATCAACAAGCAAAACGGTCCCCGATGTTCAATGAAGCCCATTTGCAGGCTGGATTCCAAAGACCGATGGATACGATCGCACGTCTAAGTAGGCTTCCCAAGAAATTTTGCATGGAAGTGGGGTGACAAGCCCTCGAGCCCGCCATTCATACGAGGCTATCACAAGGCACAGTAAATCTTCTGCCAGTGCTAGTAGCTGGATTTCTGAGTTTCTGTTGAATCTTACTAGCCTTGGATCACAGAGGCAGAAACATGCTGATGCTCCTCCACCTCAACTTCGTAATGCTCCGAGTCCCTTGAACCAGTTTGCCTTGAACTAGTTTGCAGCAGGCTGCGTCAAAACGCCATGCGGGGGGACTTGCTTGGCACTGTCATGTGGAGGAGCCGCGCACCAGGTGGGTAGAAGTTACATCCAGATGCGTTGAATAGAGATGGTTTTTGAGTTGGTAGCGGGTTCCTACGTTTTCTTATGCAGAGTAGCCCCAAAGTGGCAATAACGGCATGTCAGTACTGAGATGCTCATCTGGGCCAGTTCCAAGACATGCCGCTGCCTGCCAGCCAAGCCTGAAGTGTTGAGATTTCTTACTGGTCCTTTAATGGATTCCATCCTTCAAATCTGCAGGCGCTGATACTAAATATTGGAGACCTGCACAAGCGCGGCAGTCCATGCTTGCAAGCTGCAGGAGTTCCTATTCCTCCCCACGTTGGGCCCGTGCAAAGGCAAGCCATCTCAGACAGTGCCTACTCCAGGCCGACAATTTTCGTGATGCTGTGTGGAGGTTCAGGCTTGCAGGTGAGACCCGAGCTGTCCTCAGGCTATTGATACAAAGCCTGGCCAGATACTCTCTGGCATTACGAGGGAGGGCGAGTTTTCGGATCGGGGTTTTGATAGAAGATGAGGCATTGTCTGAAGTCACCAAGGTAGGCGAAGAAGGTAGGCGAAATGCATGCAGAGCATACCTGAGGCTGAGAAAGGGTGGAGGGCGGAGAAGCGGAAAAGGGAGGGAGGGGAGGAATGGGGATGAGATGGAGGGAGGGAGACAGGGAGGGGGAGAGAGAGTAGGACACTTCACACAATTTGACGGCTAGGAAAGATGGACTTTGTGTAGCCCGCCTTCTCCTCAAGTACTGTTGGTTAGCTCTCTCCTTAAGTACTGTGTGTGCAGTTTTGAATTTCGAAGACAAACGCGAGCTCGAAGTGCTGGCGCAGGAAAGAATTGAGGATTTCTGTGCTCGGACAGGCGGCAAAGACAAAGAGTGTTGCTTGGGCAGCAGCAGTGCAGTCCAAATTTGGATTCTCATCCCTCTAGCCCTACAGGCTGCTTGCTGTATGCTTCGTTTCAAGCTTCACGCCTGAGGACGAGGCTTCTACCAGCTGTTGCTCTGAGCACAGATTGTGTGCTGCAGCCTCCACAGGAAGCTATACTGGTACCTTTCAGAAGTAGTCAAGTCATGTGCTGTGGGATTAGGCAATGAACAGTTGCTTTTGTCGAGAGCTGAAGCTTTAGCCATTGGTTTGTTCTCAGGCTGCTAAGCACTTGAGTGTTCCTGGAAAAATGATGGACTCCGTGTGTTTGCGCCCAAAAAAACCTGGCTGACTTAGCAAGGGTCAATGCCCTCTCTGCAAAGCAGGTAATGGTTTGCTGGCAGTTAATTCATTAATTTCAGGTTTAACTATATACTACGAACAATTGTTGTCATGGCTATCTGACTAAGAATCAGTGCACCGAAGAACAAGATGGAACAATTGCATCATGGGGATCCTCGATGATCAGCAGCCTTCATAGAATGTGGAGCAATGATTGACAAACGGTACACTTGCGGGAAGCCTTCCATCAAAAATGCATGCGCTGTCCCATGATAGCAAGCTGTCACCACTCAGGGTTTTTGCAGAGCAGGCGGTGGCAGGTGGGAAATCAACGCCTAGCTGCCACAAAATCTTGACCCAGCGCGTGCTGCGCATCGGTTCCCTCTTGCGCTTTGCTTAGTGGACACTTTTGCTAGCAGACTACGCCATGTTACTGTAGACTGTACCGTTGCAGCGACATAGTCGTAGGAAACTGTAAAGGGCATCCACAGGCAACCGCCGGGGAGGCAAGTGCAACGCCATTTGCTGAATTTGCTGTACATGTTTTGGTGTGGACAGGCGGTGGGCCCGGGTTCTGCTTCTTTAGGCACTACCTGGCTTCGAGCCAAGCCTGTCTCGCACTTGTCCAGACGGGTGCTCCGTCGCAGCGACTGCTTGCAAGAGCCTTCACGTAGCGGAAGGTTTCGCAACAGTCAACAGACGATCATGCTTGCGTTGATTCAGCGCTTGTGGAAAAGCGTTGCTTGCAAGACTTTCGCCGCTCACGAAAGCTCTTCAAGAAGCGTGTGGGCTGGTTTTTGGAGCCGTGTAGAATGGTTGTCTGCCGCTGTCAGGTTGGGCGTGCAGTCGGCTGTGGCCTCAGAACCAACATGGGGGTCTCGCAGAGACCAAACAGTGCAAAGACTTACTTGTTTTGAGGTCTCTTAAGGTCTCTTAGAAGTTACGGTAGCGCCTTTGCTGCCTTCTCAGCTTCCAGTGGAGGATATGCAACCTTGTAGTAAAGTTGATAAGGGCTCTAGTGCCGAAGAGCCAGGCTGTGGCAGAGTCATCACCTCAACTCCGTTCCAAGATGTTCCAAGGCTTCCGCACACGTTACGAGAGCTGCGTGGACTCAGCAAGGACTGGTGTTTGATCCTGAGGATGAGTGAACGAATGAGCAAATTCTCGACTCCAGATGAAGGGGCCCCAAAGACCGTCGCAAGACGAATGGTGCCAAAAGATCATCACTGGTACACGGGTATCCAAGAAAGTGTGCAATTCCGCTGACGACAACACAATGCCTGATAGCAGCAAAAGAACCTCGTAGGTAGCATATCTACGACAAACAGTCTTGGATCTGAGGCAGGTAATTTTTCATCATGTTTCCAGAGACAGAGTATGCACGATAGGATCCCAGTAAGCAAAGATTGAAGACATATCAAACTTGTGCCATGCCCGCACTGCCGGAGCGGCACTGCTGCTCCGGGCTCGTGTCGGTTCCAAACAGCGAACCTTGAAAGTGTAGATGCAAGGACCCGCATTGAGGTCGTGACTGATGGGGTCCTGTCCCGGAGACTGCAGGCTGAGTTTTGAGGAGTTCTAAGAGTCTTGATGTCATTTTCGCCTTACGATGTCCGCAGCTGTCCTGTTGAAGAAGCTTCAACCGATGGTTTGGGGCTTGAAGGTCTTCTCCGACTTGGAGCGTGCATTTGTCTGGGCTCCTGCTGCAACATCCTTGCTAAGTTGGGAAAATATTCTTCTTACCAGGCTGACAACGCAATGTACTGTAGGCATCCAAGAGAAGAAGTGGTGCTTTGTGCTGATTACAGACCTCGATAGACCTTGCACAGATTGGCGCACCGACGCCATGGCGCAAAGCAGTCCATGGTACTTGGATGCTCAGCTTGCGCTTGGACCGTTTGGAGCTGGATATTTGGACCGCCCGCGGGCTCAGCTTTACGACCACTTCACCCGCCCGACTCGTGCTCACGCTTCAGCGGCCAGCTCTACGAGCAGATCTACCGCGATCTCGCGGCATATGAGACTTTGGATGCACAGCGCTTTGCCTTCTATGATGGCTTCTGTGCACGACGTCAAAAGGCATGCATTCGGCTGAGAATTGCCAATGGCGCAGCCTACGTCTTGGATATGTTTCCTGGGTATCAGAGCCGTCATCGCAGCACGTTGCATGCTCTGTATCGTGCAATTTCTCGCTTTGGGGGCTTGCCGGATGTCGAGGTGACAATTGATCTTACTGACGGTGAGCTCCAGAACATAGACCTGCCCATATTCGTAATTACGCACAAGAAGGAGGCGCCTGCTGGAATATTGTATCCAGACTTCACCTTCTACTCCTGGCCTGAGAGCGTTTGCCCGTCGTCTGAGACCGAAACCTCCCACAATTACGATCATCTCTATCGCCATTTTCGTCAGCACTGGGGCATGGGGGCAAGGTGCTCCTTGCAGTCTTGGCAGTGCATTTTACTGAAAGGTTTCAGGGGGCTTCAAATTCGAACGCTGGTTTGGCTAATTTCCCACACCCGTCCACCGCATCCTACTACCAGCCTCGTCCAGCTTCCTGACTGTTCGGAAGCAGTTTAGGTGGCTCAACCGCAGCGACACCGTCTTCTGGCGGGGGGCTCCAGTGGAGGACGCGGAGGTTCTGCCCAATTGATTGCTGCTCAGGATTCCTGCTGGGCTCTGGGGATTGCTTGAACTTCTTTAAGGGGGCTGGACGGTTTCCCAGGACGTTCCGATTACAGCGTATTCTTGGAAGGTTGTCATGTTTGCGTGGATACCGTTTGACATGAACTACGACTATCGCTCCCCTGAATTGACTGCACTTTCATGATTCAGAGCGCGGCTCTTCAAGCATTCATGAATATCCAAATGCAGCACCCTGCAGTACAGTGAAATTCCGAATGCCCACTCCATCCCTCAGGATCAAGGCGCGCGCACGGTGGCACTAGAGAGGATTGCTGAAGTCAAGAATTCCGACGCAAAGTTCATCTCGTGGCAGTTTGGGTGCAATTAAGGGGAGCCGTGAGCATATCATATTTGTAGAAGACCTGGAACCTAAGCAACGGCGCACGCCGCTAGCACCAGGATGAGATCGCGGTGCTTTGATTTTTGTATGGTTCCGTTTCTGGAGGGTTGCAGGCTGGATATTACTACCTCATAGACTTCGAGCCTTGCTGACTAGAGGGTTACCCTGACCAGGAAAACCGTGTCCTCCACAGGCCAGAATGACGTTCAAGGATGTGTGGGTTTGCTGGAGCAGTGCCGACACCGCTACTTGGCCTTTCTGGCTGGCACTACCTATTCATCGCGCATCAAATACCAGCTGCTCTGCGGTTCAGTAGTGCTGGCCCAGGAGCCACGCTTCGTAGAGTGGTGGAGCCACCTTCTGCTTCCTGGAGTTCATTTTGCTCCTGTGGAGCCGGGGTGGGCCAACATTCACCCCTTGATGCACCTTCTGCGCGAAAACCCCCTCAGGGCTGCAACCATTGCGCGGCAGGGTCAACAGCTTGCCATGACGGCGCTGTCTCCAACAGCTGTGGATTGCTATTGGTGGATGCTGCTTGGCTGTATGTTGCAAAGTTGAAAAATTGAAAACTTCGATGCTAGTAAGCCGTGACTAGCACTGGGCAGCATTAGTAGAGATCCCAATTTGGGCGTTTCAGAAAATTACAAGGCCAATTAGGAGACCCGCAAGAGCGAGGACGATGTCATAGGGTAGGTACGTAGAGTGGACTCTCATTTGCAAAATGCTCACGTTGCATCATGTTGCAAGATGTTGCAAGCATTACACCCAGGCTCCTGGCCCTGAGTGCCAGGGTGCTGCCACGCTCCACTGGGCCGTTGCCCCCCAGCGCTCGGCCGCTGGAGGACACATTGCTGTTACCCGATGATGCGACGCTGTCTTCTCTGTAGGGGCCTCAGTGGAGCTCAATGGAGCTCAGAAGCATCCCAGTCCAAAACCGCGGAAAGCAGTTTAGGCTGCCTTTTCCCAAAATGTCGTGGTTTAGCAGTGATGTAGCACGCCTGGTTGCATCTAAGCAGGAGAGAGGCAGCCAAGATTTCGTTGCAGTGCTCAGGCATGGCCTGCAAGGCGGCATCTCGATGCTCGTAGCCCCGAAGCCTGAGACGCAGGTCGGTGACCTGTTCCAATGTTTCTACACATTCACTAGTCTTTCTGCAGAAAACTCTCGCGTCCCTTCAGCTACTGCAGTTCCCACTCCTGTAGGCCTTTAAGGTACCTTTCAATGGGCTGTTCTGTGTGAGCCGCGATCTTATTGGCAGAGCTGGGATCCAACTTTTGTAGGACCTGAAACCCAATGAACCAACATGAGACGTGCTTTGGCTTTTTGGCTCGATTGGACTCATGTAGCTTAACCCTGGGATTGCCTTCATCTTTGTGCCCCATACTTAAGAGAGCTGTCAGCAGCCCGCTGAAGCTTCTTACAGGGCATAGTCGTCACCAAGCGAAGGTCTGTCTATGATCATGCAGGGAGATTTGGAGTTTAATTTGCTCAGTCGGGAGCACTCGTGGCTTGATGCTCTCTTTTGCGGCCGGCTGCGGCCTGCTCTTCGCTGGTCTGAATGCTGTTCCTCGCCATCTGATTCAACGGGTGGAAGCTTCCTCACTGGTAATGCTACGGCACGTGCGGCAGAACCCCAAACTTCAGTACAAAGCCGGATCGACCTAGTCCAAGAGGATGGCCGAAAAAGGAATGCCCCNNCCCCCCCCCCCCCCCCCATGCAAGCGCATGGCACCAGCCTCAATCCGTAACAAAACAAGAAGTGCAGTGCCGCATGAGGCCTGTTCAACTAAGAGGCTGCACATGCTCGGTCCGCTTGCAGCAAGGGATAAAACAGTATGCGAACTTACACCATGCTACATTATTTTTGTTACCTGCTTGTGACTGGAGGGGGAGCGTGGTGTTTGGGATTTGCCCTGCAGATGCTCCAATAGCTAGATTGAAAGCATCGTTTGGGGTCGCCTGAATTTAGGTCGCCATGCAGCCGGGTTGATCCACTTGCACGGGGAGCACGAACTGACATATCCTCAGGCAACAGCTGCGGAAACAACTGGTGGGCGGCGCCTGGACATCGTCAACCGATGTAGCCGTCCCATGGTGGGGAGCTCATTGTCATGCTCCGTTATCATCTACAGAGAAGGCCCGGTAGGAGCCATCCTTGGCATGTGCCATGTGATGTCTGTAATGTTTTTCCATCTGCAGCAGATGCGCCAAGACTTGTTTGATTGTTTTGTGGGAAGTGTCGCCGCTTTGCAGTGACTCTAGCAGTTGTAGGAAAGCAACCCCCAAGACTGCCTTCTCACTTGTGCAAGACTTTGACTTCTGCACAGCCCTTCAGCTCAAGCATGCTGAAGTTCCCTAATGCATGCATGGTTCGAATTCGGAAAGACCCCTTTGGATTGCTGAGGTCATTGCACCCACTGGCGGCAACTCCGAAATTCCGTGCGGAAGTGGTGGCAATCTCAGGCTTGCTGTAGAAGTCTAGCTCCCATGCCTTGCCGCAGTATTCCCGACGAATCTGTGCATGCCCTTACTGATCGATGAAGTGATCGTAGCCAACTGAGGATGCCCTGGCGGAATGGTGTGCAACCCGGAGAGATCGGAGTGTTACTTCGATTTTGAACGGCCAGGAGACTGATGCGACAGCTTGCTCACAGCGCTACTCGCAGTGACTTACAAGATCGTGTAAACGTTTACGGCCAAGTCTGTGTACTCTCGCTGTATGGCCGGTGCTTGCTGAAATGGCTCCTGCTGACTTCATAAACATGTCGTAAAAGAATCGTCAAATCACATCCCAAATCCTTCAACGTTCCGCTCGTTTGTTGCCTTAGCCTGGTTTGAAAACCATGACGGATCATTTTCTATCTACCTCATACTGAAGGCTTAAACACCTAAGCTCTCAGCCGACCGTAAACAAGCATCTGCAACAGGGGCTGAGGCGAATTTTGTTCGCAATGACCGCTGCAGGAGAGGATTGGACAATAGCTCCTGGGGAGACGTTGGTCATGCACACGCCCAATCAGGCCGTTCAGCAAGGCTCGCTGGGAGCGTTGAGCCAGCCCATGTTGTGCCTGAATGGTAAAAGCTGACATGACTCGCTTTGCATAGGATCTTCGCAAAAAAAAACACATTTCCTGTTGCGATGCCACGATCTGGGCAGCTAGACCAAGTACAGCAAGGTTCGGATAGTCACCTGCGCCTGCCAGCAGATTAGCAGGCTATGTAGGAGCTGGGGGAGCACTCAGGCCCTACCAAGCCTTAGACGAGGGCAGGTTTCTGCCGATTTCGGCCTCCAGCATCATACACACTTATGACACCATAGCATCCATAGCTGTGTAATCTCATAGTGATCATTGTTTTATAAACTGTCAGAGCTGCGTGTCGTGTACTGGCTCAGAGAGCGGGTGGTTGCTGATCAAATTGCTTTGCTGACAGCCTGCATTGAGGCAATGGCGTCTTTGCGGAGTGGAGCGGGAAGATCGAGTTCTACCCCAACCATACTCAGGACCCTTGAGCAACCTTGAGCATATCTACCATGGCTGCTCATCGGAATGCAGAGAGGATGAACGCAGATCATGTATGAATTCCTGCCAAGAGCGACCCAGGATGGAGGCTTAATACCATCGGCTTTCTGCAACAACCAGGCTTTCTGCCCATCCTACCAGGGCCTCAATGGCGCAGCTGGATCTTTTTTTCTTAAATTGTATTTCCGTGAGATGTGTTTGAACAAAAACAAGATTGACAGGTTGCAATCTTAACGAGCATCGCAGACTTGCGCAGGTAGCTACAGGCATAGAGTTCACATTTGTCCCGTTCGGTCCGGACTATTATGATGTGTCCATCATCAACGGCTTCAACATTGGTATTGAGATGATGCCTGGCAGCAGGAAGCAACTTGCTAGTTTTACTGCAGCAGAGAAACATGTTACTTTTGTGTTCATCCTTGTCAGTTCGTCTGCAATCATCCAGCCCATCCCGCCAGCTCGTCGCCCCGCCACCCGCGCGCGCCTCGCCCACGCGCCATCTCGGGACGCCGGCTCACCCGGTGCGATCTCGGGACCCGGCTCGCCTCCCTTTAAACTCCTCTTGCAGACCTTCCCGGCGCTATCTAGACTCCTCTTCGACACTCTGCGTCCTGCCCTTACCGGGTGTTCCAATATTCATTGTAGTACCCTGCGATTTCCTGCTCTCGTGCAACTCATCCTTTCTCGTTGTCGCCAATTGCCGCCCTTTCTCACCATCACTTGTTCTGGCTCTGCTTCTTCTCTCTTCTATTCTCTGTTCTGCTGCTACACATGAGGGGTTATCCGGTCCTTCAGTTGGTTGTGTTTGTCGTGTTCTAAGGTCTGCTGGGCGGCCCACGCCGGCTAGCTAGTAGCCCAGTTCCACAAGCAGAAAACAGTACATATAGTCATTGACGAGGTTGGCATGCGTTGAGATTTCATGCAACAGCTGGGGATACACTCAGACCCGGGAAGCCGGCAACGATAAAAGCCTGAGGGCGCCCGGCTCTTCGCAAACCTCATGGAGTTGTCTGTCCAAGAGGATTAGCACCAATAAGAGGAACACTGATATTACAGCCGGCGAAAATGCAAGCACCAGCGCATCCCTTTGGATGCATGAAAGGGGTGAGTAGGGTTGCTCTGCTTCCTCGCGTTCGAAGCCTGGATAAGTGTATTCTGTGAGCAGCCTTAGGAAGCCAAATGGCGCTTTCAAGCAGATAGCGGAGGAGGCTGCTGGCAGCTGGGTGGGTTACAATTGCGGAAGCGCTGGGGCCTCTCATCAGCCGGATATCCGCCTCAGCAGCTCAGCTTCGATATCCAGACTCCACACGCGCAGCGCTCTAATTGTTCAAGTCAGACACAGTCGCAACATGTCACAACATCCGAAATGGTAGTCATCACGTGTGTCAGGTGTATAGTTTTGGCGGAAGCCCAGCACGGGTGGTGCTGGCAGGAATCGGCAAGTCTGGAGGTAGACCCCAAGAAAGTGTCTGCCAGCTGTAGGCAAACAAGTGCAGTTGGCTCTGGCGTTTTCCAATAAGATATGTGGAGCTACACCATAGGAATCTTAGTAATTGCTGCAGCGCATTCAAACTCTGCCCCCTTTGAAACATGTGTTCGTGGCAGAGGTTCATGTTCATGGAACTTCGATCCACGCGGTGATGGGCAAGACCTGGGCCCCCTTCTACGGCAAGTCGACGGTAGTGGAAAGAGTTGCACTTCTGACAGCGACTGCATCGCTGGTTTGGTCTGCGGGCAAGTTGGCGTTCGCACCTTCAACCCCGTTACCAAGCAGTACCAGCCAACAGAAGAGATCCGCATGGAGTGTGGCCATCAAATTGGCTTATGGTCCGCCTACCAGCTGTGTGTGTGGAGTGGAAACAGGTATGTCAGTCCATCACCATTTGATGGCTTGATCGACTGCCCAGCGCATCACAACATGTTCGCATGTGCTGGGCATGAGCCATGGATTACAACTTGTTACTCCGAGGGGTCTCATGAGGATGGCTGCTGTGGGTGTGCAGATTGGGCTGACATTCTGGACATCCCTGTGCCACAGGCTCATGGCTGCAGGGGCAACAGTACCACTTGGGAGGAGAGTGCGCTGCCTTACTACGAGATACTGAAGCGGGGCTGTCCTACAGCATACACGAGTCTTGGCCTAAATATGGTTTTCACACATGATCAAGAAGTCCTGCCAACTATGAGCTTTTGCATGACTTGTTCAAAACACCCTCCCAGGTATGCATACGACGACGAGTCCTCAACCTTTACTTGTCAGAGTGCGAACAGTCGGCAGGAGGAGTCTGAAGCGGCTCAGTCTGTTAGTTCTCTGTGCTTTCATGGGGGCTTTCCCTTCACAAGCCCTTCGGCGTATGCAATGAGAAATGCCCAGTCTTCCACGCTAAGGCTGCCTGTGCAACATACACAGATGCTTGGCAGCCTGGAGCCAGGGACGCGAGGACATGGCACGAGCAGCAAGGGTCCTGCTGATTTGCTTGCGACTGTTCAGACATGTATCCTCAAAGTGCCTCACGAAGTAATCTCGAACATTTCAGTGATTGGGAAGTGCACATTTAGCTGCTTGGCAGTGCCATGTCACTGTGCAAGTAGGGCCCCTGCAGGTGAGATACCGGGTTTCCATGGGTTTCCGAGAAGTCACTGTTGAAAAGCCCAAAGTAGAACGGCTACCTTGCGGATCTAGGGCCAGATCAGACCGTCTTAAGATGCAGCAGTGGTTTGAAGTGCCCTTCTCAAGGAAGATCTTTGCCCTCACCCGCAGTGCGCGTGGTATGGCATGGATATTGGATGCCAAGTCAAGGCTAATGATGCAGGACTTACTCGGCAATGGCACTGCTGTTTGTCACACCCTGCATTGTGTTCAGCTGATTTGTGCAGTTTTTGCAGGATACATCATTACCCTTTGCCCAGAAGCACCGGAGGGCAGCTGGAACTTGCCAAAGCCCCCCCAGATCAGTGCAGATACTCCTGCCATGGATTCTGATGCTGCTGTAGAGACGACCACGCAAGCCCTGCCAACGACCACCACATGGTCTTGCCAACCCGGAGATGTCGTACCATGCTGCGTCGATAGAGACTGCTTGGAGACCTGCGCTGGCAACCAATGCTGTCCGGATGGGACAGCTTGCCCTTCAGCCACTGATGACTTTGCCCTGTGCCCGGCTCCCAGGCTGTACACCTGTCCGCCAGAGACCACTACTCAAACCACAACCTTCAGCATTACTGCCACCACCACAGCCACGCAAACCTCCACATCCTCCACACTCCAGACCACACTTAGTGCTGTCCAGCTACAAACCTCCCTGCGTTCAAGTGGAAGGACTCCACGTCGTACAAATCTTTGGCTCCTAGGGCCTAGCAGCTTTTGATTCTCCTGTGAACCCCTACCAGGATGGAAGCAACCGGCGAGGTTGCTACCTCTGGGGAGGTATTGGTGGGCGACATCCACGTTGAGTCTTGCCTTGGGAGGTTGATTACTGTGGCAAAGTTTGATAGGTTTGACGTCACGATTGTAGCGTAACGTGGCACCGTGTTTTAATTGACCGATGTCCTTGACGTTGGCACATGGCAAATGTGGCAGACAAGACTTGCGAGCTTAGTTACATGGTAACGCGCACGATGACAATTTAGTGATAGCTGTTTCCTGAAGTGAGCCCAGGAGCTGAGCGCTGGCAATGCGAGTCTCTGGATGAGTGACCCGGGAGTGCAGCAGGCGCTGCGGGCCTCACTGCGGACACTGAAGCTAACACGCATTTTCAGAAGACTTTTTGCAATAGTTCGGCGCTTCGGGGATACCTCCGGTCTGGAGTTCAACAAAAGACGGCAGCACAGCTGAATGACAAGTCGGAAGACGAAGATTGGCAGTAGTTGGAATGAAGCAGAACTTTTGGCCAAGCACCGCGGCCGGCGTCGTCTTTGTTTTCGTGACAAAGCACAGTCTTTTTGATAGTTTCCTGCTGGCCGCAAGATTGCCGAAAGGCTGGAAGAAGAGCTAAGGAGCAGCCACGAAGGCCAAGTCTGGTTGACAACTGCTGACTTTGCCCTCCCTGACCTCTCCTCCGTTCCAATTGAAATGGCTCCTTTACGCTGCCATTTGTGTGGGGATTTTCAATTACAGACCGGGAGGGTAACATCCAAATAATGCGGTAACTGATTGTGTAGTAGCGTGATGGGAGGGGGTATTGTATAAGGATCCGCGACGGATTTCGCAACGCATTTCATGCTAGCCTGCGGCATGTCAAGGGCGCCCACAATGTTGCCAAGCCACACCAATTTTGCTGAAGATGCTTGACGCGGCTGTTCTGTGGCGGTGGGTGTCCTGTGTGCTATGCTGATGTTGTTATCCCATGAACTAATTGAAAGGAGAGGCGTGTGCAGAGTTCTACGCATGCAGCAGAGAGGGCTTTTCAATGCTACAGCAGGCATCCCGTTGCAGAACGTCCATCTTACAGCCGACCCGAGCACTTCAACTTTCCACTATCGGGTTCAACTGCCAGCCCAGCACTCAGGAAATGGTAGCCGCAGGGCTTAAGATCGGATGACACAGATGGGTAGAGTGGTTGCGTGATGTTCCGTGGAGCAGAAAGCAAACCACGCAATGTTCTGCTGGGCTACTCCAAGTGTCCCTGCTGCCGGTGCTCATGCAGGCTTCTGCCCCTTGACTGCTACTGCTACTGCTGCTACACCTACGACTACGACGACGACGACGA